TTTATGTGTTTCTTGAGGCTTTAGCTACTGGATTGATTTGAGGAAATATTTTTCTTTACATTTTAAACAAATAAATTTGAAGCCAGTTTTGGATTATTTATTTAAAAAAAATTTTAAATCTATGGAATGGGTATTAAGAACATTTTCTTCCCTGGTATCTTCCATTTCATTAATATCATTATCTGAATCACTTTCAACGATTTGTGTATCCATATGAGATGACATTTTAAATTATTAACACGTGATTTAGGTTTATAATATATATTGAAAATATATTTCAATTTCAAAATTAAATAATAAATCATAAAAATTATAATTAATTATATTATATTTAAATTTTCATGTTTATACTTACCTTCATTATATTTTTTAAAAGTAGCTAAGTAGCGGCCTTAGCTACTTTCAAAAAAAGTAGCGCGCTAAAAAATTAAATAATTACAAAAAAGTAGCCGCTAGCTATAGCTACCAAAAAAGTTAGCGCGCTACTTAAACAACTCTGTCCGGAACTATGTTAGATTAAAAATTTCAATTGCAATAATCCTTTCAACATAGACTATTGTGCAAAACTTCATTTGAAAGATGTTTCTGATAATAGCCATTCCATTTTATTCCAATTTGTAATATGTCAACGCCTATTCTGTTCCTAAAAATTTTAAATATGGTTCGGGTTCTAAACTCGGATAGAAAATGAAAGCCTAACCCTTATTCTATCATCTATATTAATGTGATATTATAAGAATAACTATTAATAATTTTAGCTTCATCGTTTATCAAAATGGTAAGATATTAAAATCATTTTTTTCCTATGTAATTTAAAATGGTGTCGACATATACAAAGAAAAGGGCTGAATTAAGTTATGCATATAATTTCAGTTTTAAAATCGTCAAGTTCTAATTTAAAGATATACTTAATTGTAATATTATTATTTTATATAATATAACTCGTTAATAATTTATTTTAGATTGTTGCATTTCATGCGTTTATTAAATTTTTTTGAAGAAAAAATTATTAAAAGTTATATATTATATATATAAATGTCTTAGAATTTAGTTATTTTTAGTGTGATTCTTTCAAATTATAATCTAATCACGATTTATTTTTAAAAAAAATTTGAATACCCAGACCTGGCCTAAAAATTTTTTATTTGAAAAAATACCCGGGACAGGCCGAATATTTTAAATCGTCTTTATTATCTTTGAAAATAAATATAATATATTTTAAAAATTCTTGCCGAGTTAAAAAAAAACGAAGTCTTAACAAAAAAATTTTTTTTAAATCCGGGCCAGGCGCAAATGGTACTTCTGCAGAACTCTGATTTATATGTACCAAAATAAAATTATAATTTTAAACATGGCTAATATATATTGTGTATGGCATTAAATGAAATTTTTTTTAAAAAATATAAAGTTTTGAGCGAACGTAATGAGTTCCTTTTTTTAAGGTGAACGTTGAAGGCAAATGAGTTCGATTTTTGCCATTGAACGCGAATGGGTTCGATTTTTTTATATTGTGTGACAAACACAACATTGAAAAATAATATATACAATTCTTGCATAATAACAATATTGATTAATATCTATGATTCTTGTAAAGATATTGATTCACAATTCATCTAATTCTAAGAAAATAATACTCAATTATCAGTTTTTATTGCTTTCTCTCGAATTATATTAATCAAAATTTTGGGATATTTATTATAAATTTTATACCCAGCTTTGAAAATAATTTAGGTAATTAATTAGATTTTATCATACTTCTTGTACCTAGGCGAAGTCATGGCGGGGGTGGGAGGGGAATTTGTCTAACCCGAAAAATTTATTTTAAACTAATAAATAATTTCCTCCTAGACCCCTCACCTCAAAAAATATATACAATATATCACTAAACAATAATTTGGAAGATAAATAAAAGTTAATAATTTGTTGAAATAATGACTATAATTCAAAATTTTTGAAAAAAAGCATTATAATAAAAAAAAAATCAAAAATCAACTATTATTTAAAAAATGCAACATAGGCAAAGACCTGCAATTATCTTTATGATCTTCAATAAAATTTATTGAAAAAACCAACATGATAGTGCCTCTCTCTCCCCCATTAAAATTTTGCTATGCCTATGATCTTGTATTATTTGTAAATAAAATAAACCAATATGATTTTAATAATATCGGTTAGAATTGTTCTGGGAATAAAAAACACCCGGACAAAAATATCCAGGTTTTAATAATTTTTCAAAATTCTTAAATAAGAGGAAATTTTTAAAAAATATTAATTTCTTATCCAACATAAGTTTCAATCTCTAAAAAAATATACTTGGTTAATGATAATGTGCAGCCGCTTTCTTTTATAAAATCCATGGATATCTATAATAGGTTAATCTTATTTGTATTTTTATACTACAAAAGAAATTTTGTTTTGTTGAAATTATTTGTTGTTTGATAAATAATTATTTATAAAAAAAAAATTTTTTTAGCTAGTGGGTTTAAACGTGAAATGATCCATTTTTCTGTAGTTAGCCAGCATGGATAAGGGGAAAAAATCAATATATTTTTAAAAAATGGTTTAATAAAATTTCCAAAATAAGTTTCTAATGAATATTTTAAAGCAATCTAGTAGTATAATTAACAAGAGACTAAGTTAATGCATCTTATGGGAAAATTTTTTCCTGAAGCAAGCCAGCAATTAATTGAGGATTAGGTAGATGCAGAAAGCTGGCATGAACACTGGGGCAGGGATGATATATACTTATAAAAGGGTTTCGTAAAATTTAGTTAAATTTTTAAAATAATCAATTTTTTTCCTAGTGGTGTAATTGGTTAGACAGTAGGTTAATAAATTTGAGCTCTCTCAATGCTTCTTTTCATTACCGGCGAAACATTTTGGGGGACCTTTTTTCTGAACTGAAACAAATCACCACCAGGAGTTAGCCAAGAGTTAGAGAAATGGATATGGAGAAGATTAATATATGTATCAGAGACCTGCAGATATAAATTACACGGCACGGCTTTGTAAAAAAAATAGGCATTGTCGAAAATGTAAATTTTATTTTTGGCCTATGTTTTATATTTTAAAAAAATTTTAAGACCTTAAATATTTAAATAATTTTCTATCCAATAACTTTTAAAACTATCATCTTTTTTATGTTAAAAAGTCTAATTTGGGTCTATTTTTAAAAACAGACTGATTAAGATTTTAGCCTAAATAATATTAAGTAAGCCTCGAGATTTGGCGAGAAGTCCAAACCTTTCTGCCATCTATGAGCAAAATCTCCAAACTTACATAATATTATTTGACTAAAATCTTAATGGAGCTCTTTTTATAAATCGACCCAATCGGACTTTTTAATTACATTAGCATTCACATTCGTTCAAGTCTTTATGAATAAACAAAATTTTTAATTTCATCTAATATATAATTTAATATAAATAAGTGCCTTATATTTTTACACAATTTATATAACAATAAATATAATTATTTATAAAATATATAATACTTTAAATCGTGTTCAAATTAAAATATAAAATCCTTGATAAATCTGAAAAATAATAGCGATAAAATTATCAAAGAATCACACTAAAATAAATTCTAAAAATATTAACTATTTCATATCTAAATTATTTTCTTATTCATATTCGATTCGAATAATTTTGTTATTTAATTTTTTGATAAAGTTACGTGGTTACTTTTTAATGTAACTAGTTACTTTTGGAAAGAAGCAATTTTAAGAACAAAATATTATGTTTTTAAAAAATATATATTAAGCCTACTTCCAATTAACTTATATCCTAGTATTGTTTAAAATTATTATTTTAGTTGGATATTTTTTTATTTAATAAAAAATTTAACATTCCGCTTGACATATGTCCAAGGGAAGAGATAACAATTGGCAAAAAAACAAATTAATTTATCAATTCATAAATTTTTTTCTCGGCTATATCAACTGGATTAAAATATACATTTATTTGAAAATGAAAAGATGCATGAAGTCCCAACAAAAGATTTACCTAAGGACGAAGGTACTATAGTTAAATTATATGGCCATAAACCAACATCTGACGATAAATAACAGGCTAGGGTGTTAAATATTTGAGCCCTTGTATGAGAATGGCTAATATCTATTAATTGCTGCATGTCTGCCTTGACTATATATACAATTAAGGCCATATCTCCCTTTGGTATCAACAAATATTTAACATATATGTAGTTAACATGTTGCATCCAATTTGATAGCCAATGACAACTTTTAATTTTTTATCTGATAAATGGTTATCTAGGTTACGACTTGAGAAAGAAAGAAAACCATTTATAATCAGCATTTTGTAATGGTTGAATATATTCCAAAGGAGGATTTGATGAAAGCATTTTAAAATTTTTTTTACAAGGTTCAAAATTTTATTTATATTTTAAAACAGCTTAAAGTAAAGCTAAATATATCCAGGAGTCCATGTAGAATTTAAAAGGTTATCTTTAAGAGTGATAATAAAAAATTTAAAGTTAAATGACAAAATAAATATTTGTGCTTGAGCATAGTGTTGTTAAACGGCTCATTTTGAGCCGATTTTTAAAAACGGCTAATTCAATATTTTAGCTAGAAAAATATTGCCTAAGCCTTGAGATTTCGCTAATTGATGTCTAGACCTTTGTGCCACATATGAGCAAAATCTTCAGACTTGCGTAATATTATTCTAGATAAAATATTGAGTTAGTCTTTTTTAAAAATCGCCTCAAATCGAGCCGTTTAACAACACTACTTGAGCACTATATGACCAGTATAACTTATCTGCTGCTAATACCAAAATATTGAATAGTGTTGTTTTATAACAATTTTAAAATATATTTAAAATTAAAACAGAGTTCATCTTATAAAATATTTTTTTATTCTAAAAATTTTATAAAAGATTTAAATAAGAATAAATAAATTATCATGTTGTAATTTGAAATATCATAAATAAATATATATAAAAAAACACTTTAATTTTTTTTGAAAAGTCAATAAATGTAAGCATAAAGGAAGATTTGTCCAAAATTTGACAACTTAATATATTAAATAAAGTGTTATTTTTGTTTTGAGTATAATAAATGTTCAATAAATTTTCACAAAAGCTAAATATATCACAACTATCACACCAATATATAATTTAAATTATAAATAAAATACTATAAATGTTATTAAGGTGTTAATGTGATGAATAGATTTGAAAGCAAATTCTTAAATATCACAAAAGATATAAAATTATCTATAGAATATTTTAATGACTAATTTTTAAACCAGATTCTTAAATATCACAAATAGAACACTCTTTAGCACATAATGACTAATTTTGAATATAAGTTTAAAAAAAAAAATTACAAAAAAGTATTGTAAAATAATATGTAGTGGTATAAATATTTGGATGTATTTTGAATTTTAGGTAGGAATGATAGGACCTATAAATTGAATTGTCTTCAATTTAAATAAATATAATTAATATAAAATATAAAAATTTTAATCTTACATTGCGCAAATGAATTTCACTAACTAATATTAATAATGATATCACAAAGAATCCAATATACTGGATCCAACACAAAAATTCCTAAAAAATAAATTAACAATTAGTATTTTAGTTTCTAAACCCATATTTTGTCAACAAAAATTGCTATCATACATATCTCTAAAAATGCATGAGCATTACATAACCTCCAAAACCATATGATAATCCACATTGATGATGATTTAAGGACTTCATTTTCTAATATCTACAATACTATATAAAATATAATAAATATTGAATATATACTTGTTGATTAGGGGTGGCATATATGTTTTCAAGGAAGAAATGGTATTTTGTTATATATCTATCCCAAAATGATAAACTAAATGTCATCAATATAGCAATACTAAATAATTTTGACCATATGACTTTGGTTGATATAGTTGTTTTATTCTCTAAATTACCATTTCCAGATTCTAACAACTTAATAAAATATGTTTAATGCTCTTATAAATGTATTACTTTATAACCCCCTTCATGTATAGATATCCTATGAAATTTATTATATAAATAATTGAAAGCAGCCAGCATTAATATTAAAGATCCAAAGATATCGGCTGAGCCATCCCATATATAACCCCATGTTCCATGTTCAGATTCCATTAGATAGCGCTTATTTTTACGTTCTCTCGCAATAACACCATCTAATGCATCTAAGAATGTTCTAAATTCAAATAATAAAACTCCAATTCTTCTCATACATAAACGGTCATATGATATAAATTTTGCTGCAATAATTGCAACACAGAAATGAGCAAATGTTATCATATTAGCAGTTAGGCCAGGAAATAATTTCGTTAAATGTAATACATCTACAGATAATTGAGCTAAAGGTGTCCATATATAATGATTAGGAGAATCACACATAATGAGCTTCATTGTCATATCTGAAAACGGTGTATAGAAATGTGGGGCTTTTTGACTAGCATTAATTTGGAGACCTGGTTTTCGATTTTGCAAATGATAATAGAGCATTAGGTCCATCCAAAAAAAATAAGTAAGAAATATGAATCCAAAAGCTATAAAATAGCGATTTTCACAAGAATGTAAATGATTTCCCATGTTAGCAGAGCTGAATTTATTAACAAATCTGAAACATCTGATCAATTAATTTGCCTAATTATGGATCGTAAAGTCATTTGATCGTAAAGTCATTTGATCGTAAATTCATCCACTTTTCTTATTGGCTTATTTGGTAAATTAAGATTATATCTTATTAAAATATTATTTGTAATTATCTGATATATTAAATACATATAAAAATCAAATAATTACTTCCATATAAATTCATATTAATAATGATCATTTTATCCATTTTGACCGAAAATGGATCCAAATACGATCAAAGGAAACCCTCCCTATCAAAAAAACCCTCGATCAAATAAATTACTAATTATTTTCAAGACTAGCTTCCACCCACCCAAAGTATGTTTTAGATATGGTTAAAATCCGGGTTTGGGTCGATTCTTAAAAATGGCGCGATTATGTTTTCGTCAAAATATTATAATTAACCCCTATAGATTTTACTCATCGATGGCAGAAAGGTTTCGACCTCTATTTGCCAAATCTTGAGGCTTACATAATATTTATTTGGCTAAAATCTTGTTTTTTATAAATACACTCGGGTCGGGCGATTAAAAACCCAAGATTAGCAATATATTGTATTGATATTGGTTTAAATATTGGTATTCTATTGGGATTAAACAATTCTATGTCTTGTTGGTATTGCCATTGGTTTAATTTCACATTGCTAATAAATTAAAATGAAATAGTGATTTTAAAAAAACTATGAGTCAATATTGTTTTAAAGAACCGAATCTGTATATTTCCTGATTTTTTTAAATGAAAATTCAGAATACTAAACAGATACGAAATTGGAAAATTTTGATCTAATAATAATTTTTCAACAAATCAATATGAAACAATCAAATAAAAAAATAACAGCTAATTTACAAACTTTTTTCAACTTTAGGTATAAGGATACTTGGATTCATCTCGTAAACAATGTTGATCAGTTATGCATTATACTTTTCAAAGAAATTTTTTTTCAGAGAGATTCGAAGTTCTGGAATTGCCAGATAATCTTTAGAAATTTTTATTTGGTGTAATCTCCACCATTCAAGGAAATTGTATCTTCGGAAAGGGAGCTTTACTTATTTCAACAAGGTTATTATTAGCAGCGCTATAATATCTTTCGACATAATCTATTTTATCATAAAAGACTAATTTTATATTTACTTTTTAGATAATTTTAGTTTGTATATATATATTTAGATACTATGTAAATAATAATAATTGTGAATCAGAATTTAGACAATGAATAAATTATGGAATATTGTAATGCATGAGTTATGATCGTGTAATGATTCTGGAATAAATTATTATAATTGCTGACTAAGAAAATTGGGTAATAAATGAATTGGAAAAAGAAAGAAAACAATGAAATAAGAAATAGTTAATATGGTACAAATGAAAAATGAATTAAATAATTATTAGAATATTTAGGAAAATATTTATCAATAATGAAGAGCCATCTGGAATGAACAAAGTGGTAAATGGATTCAAATATTATTTTGAGATTAATAATTTGTGGTAATTAATTTGGGGATTTAGTTGTAATAGATAGTGTAATATGAAATTAGTGTTGGGAAATTGATGACATTAAAAATGGAATATCATGGTAAAAATATATGGATACTAATGGCATAGTGACATTTACATGGTAATTTGGTTTATGGATTATGATTATGGACTATAGTAATTTATACATTGTGAAAAATAAACTGATGAAATATTCTAGCTAATTTAGACTTTGGGAAAAAGGTTACTGATAAGAAAACCTGGCTAATTTGGACATTGAAAAAAAGGTTATTGATAAAAGAACATAGCTAATTTGGACATTTAAAAAGTGGTTAATGATAAAAGGACCTGACTAATTATACGTAATTATAAATTATGATGGGACTCTGGAAGCCATGAGTCCCCATAGAGATTGAATATGAGGATGATTGGGGCTATGAATTAGCAACCATAGTCCCTTCCCTCTATTCGGAGATAAGAAGAATCGATATTGTCCATCGAAGATGCTCTGGTGTAGTTGCCCAGAAAATACAAGTTAAAAGGGACTGTGATTTCATGATAAGTTAAGCGATAAAGGCTTGTTTAAGGACCGTTCAACGTTATAGACTGTCCACATGGGTATGATTGGTGGGTGCAGAATTGTGGCGACTTAGATTCCATCCAAGGGATAACGACTGGGATTATTCAAGGTTTGCGACTGCACCATTATGTTTTGGATTGGATAAAGAAGGTAAGGGAGAGATGTAGTGATCAGCTACCAAACATGGAGATTGATAAACAAGAATAATTAATCAACATCATATAGTTTTGGAGATAGAGGAAAGTTCGAGAATGATTGCCAGGGATTATGGAATGGGATGAGGATATTTATAATTTACTACACATGTATAGCCTTTCTCTTTTAGCTTTAGGTGAATGTTTCCCAAGTCCCTCATTTTATCCACTCTTGAAAAATATTGAATAGCTTTCATGATACATTTTCCAATAATAATATAATTACAGAAGTAGAATTAATGAAATCAGAGGATACTATATATCTAAGGATATAACATTCAATAAAGCGACTATATTACAAGAAACTAAATTATTTTATCATAAATTAAAAAATGATTTGAGAAATTTAAAAACTCCAACTCGATTTTAGCATTATTTTTTAAATAAAAAAACTTATTATCAAAAAGGATTTGTCTAGAAGAGAAAGAATAAAAAAAATAAAACACAAATATGATATTAGCTAATCTTTTATATAATTTACATAACTATTTTTTTATAATAAATCATATTATCGCAATGCCTTGCAAATAAACCAGCAGCAACTAAGAGAATCAGAAATAGTAGTTTCTTGAAATATAAAGATGAAAAGCAAATAATGTGCCCTGAATAGCCCTATCATGTCATGCTGGAAAAGGATAGAATTTACAGCAAAAAATTTTATGGAGGTAGTTCTACAATTTTTTAAATATCTATTTCCTCTTGCCAGTTGGCTACAAAGATTTAGAAAAAGGCATAATATTAACTTTCTCATAATATGCAATGAAAGAGGGAGTGCAGATCTTATTAGTGCTAATGATTGGAGCAAGAAAACACTCCCTTCTCTGGTTGATAGTTATGCTCGGTGCAACATATATAATTGTGATGAAACTGGACTGTACTACAGTACATTACCAGAGAGAACCATGGAATTTAGTGGAACACAACCATTTGGGTTTAAACAAGATAAAGAAAAGGTAAAAGTTCTCTTTATCATAAGAATCGGAAAAAAAATCCAAGATGTTTTAAAAATAAAAAGTTACCTGGTAAATATATTTCTAATAAAAATAGTTGGATAACATCTCCAACCTTTGAAGACATCTTAAAAATAGGATTTTTCTTTATAGAAAAAACTATTATTTAAAAAAATATAATAATAATTTTCTTACCTCCAAATACTTCATCACTTATTCAATCCTTGGGTATTGGATTTATTCGATCCCTAAATATCATTTCCCAAAAAGTATAATAAAATAATGATCAAATATATGGAAGGGAGTGACAATTTTTACTACAAATTTACTCTTTATGACAGCCTTTTCCTAATAAAATTTGCTTGGGGAAAATGTTTTATTCTAGCCAATTTCTTTGACAAATCAATGCCATTTGATTGGGAATCAGAGGATAAAGTATGTAAATATGGTGATGAAGAAGAGGATTAATAGATCCCATATTTCTATCTTATGCCTTACATGGTGATAATGCAAGTTGTCATGGCATATTAGATGATCAGGATATTTGTAACCAAATTAGATTAGAATTGAAAGATTTATTTTCTTTAAATCTAAGAATTTATCTTATTTTCCAGAAGGGTATGGTAGTGCAGAAGTGATATAGAAGAGATACCTGACTTGAAAATTTACCTAATAAAAGCCATGAAAGATCATGCAACCTGAAGGACCAAGAATCACTAAGAAGGCTAGAAGTCATTATAGAAAATTAATTATTTACACCTGATTCAACCCAAGCATTATTTACAAATTATTTAAAATCAATTAATTAATTTTATAAAAATTATTTATCTTTTATTTTATAAATGTGTTATATATTTTGAAATGTTTAAACGTTTATCTACACTATTCACAATTTTACAAATTGTTATATATAAATATATAAGTATATAAAATAAAAGTAGCTGAAATAAAAATTACGAATTTTACCATAATAAATATACATATCTTTCCAAAAAAATTGTAATGACTTGGATGAATATGTATTATTAATCATAAAAAGTAAAAGTTTTATTTGAAAAATTCTAGGTGATTATGTTAAATTATTAATCATAAATATAAAAAATATAAATATGCTGTTAAATTTATTTTTTGTAAATTCTCCAGGTCTAAAAGAATATTTCTTTTTTGATATCCTTGAAGTTGTTGAATAATAGAATTAGTTTGATGGTTGAGGGGTATCAATTAAAATATTGATTACATTTTTCTGAGAATCTTGATTTTCAAAATATGTTGCTTGGGTAATGTGAAAATTATATACTATAAAACTACCAGTAGTACAACGCTATTTTATAACTCACACAATTTAACAACCTAACTCACTCTAAAACTAAAATTAATATATTTTCACTCCAATTTTATTGTCCAAATATATATCTATAAAAAACAAAAAATCATAATTATAAAATCTCGTCTATTTTATACTTAGAGAAATCACGAGTTCGTGATATATAAAATCAGACGGTATAATAAATATTAAACAAAATTTTTTTTAAAAATAAATAATTTTAAATAGTAATTGTTGCTACCTTTGTGCACATATTCATGTTACTCTACATGGTGCTCCAGTTTTGGCAAAAGAAACTCGCCTCATGGAAATTTTTTTTTAAAAATAAAATTTTTTCCCTTTGTAAATATGGTTAATAAAAAAAATTATAAAATGGTACAAACAATTCTATATAAGATGGATAAAAAAAGGGTAAGTCATTTCAAAATTATTTTCATCAATTATGTTCGCCTTCAAAGTACTAAATGTACTCCATCAAATTTCCATCTACGATATTCTATTTGATTTAACTTATAA